TCATATTCCAATCTAATGCGTTGAGGAAACATGTATGCATTTGGAATTATATACTCTAGAGGCTTTCATTAATTTTCTGCCAACACCTTGGAGTTGTAATCTCTATGGTGAGGTGACAATGATTACCTTCTTACCGGCAAATTGTTATCTCAGTGTGAAGGGCCGTTTTCCGAAACCTGAAGCACAGGATGTACTGATTCCATTTTTGAGTTCTAACTCTTGTTAACGGTATCGGTGACCCCAATGTGTTATCATCTTGTGAACTTCCACAATGAAAAAACAAACCGCCTGACTCGGTCATTAGGGCCCAGCTCAGAAAGTAAGTAAGATTTGTCAAACAGCCCTATGACTGTAGACCGGGGAGGGGGGCCTATCAACTTCTGCATACCTGGGATTCAGTTCTGAAGATGGACTTCAGATGGCGCTGTTGCCCTTGTGCTCAAAGTAAGAAGGGTGGTCAAAATCTGCCGAATCTGATGAAGACAGCGCACAGCAAAAATTGCAATACAAATGTCATACATACTTTTGCAAATCAGTGAAGGATGGATAAAATGCTGCACTATTTTTTCCAAATCAGTAAATATTTGTATCACACATTTTCTCATTCTTAGTCCTTTCAAACATTTTAATATGTGCAACTTATTTACGCTATGACAGTAATTGCTGTCATTGTGAACCTGTCTTGCCACCTGGTATTGCTATTGCTATAGACCCTTTACTCATAATTGCACTGTTTTTGTGTGCAGTGTTGACTTTTTACAGGTACACACCTTACCAATTCTTCTGTGGTAACTTCAAACCATCCAATTAAAACTTGTCTATTTACCAACCAGCACAAACAGACTTTCTTTCCCTGACACTAGGGCTAATTTAAGAGTGCTTTGACAGTCCATCAGCCAAAGCTTACCACATGTGCTGGATTTTCCCGTTCCTTTTCCAATTATCCAGCACAACGTTTTCATAAAGCCACTTCTTGTCAGAATCCGGCATCTTCTTCAATGCTGTTTCAATGTTGCACTATTGCTGTAATGAGCTGGGATTCGCCTGCACTAATATGTGTCAGTAAACAGCGCTGCAGCCTCCACAAGGCCAACGAGATTCAATGGGCCCATCGACACCTGTGTCAAGATATCCCCATATGGAGGCATTTACCTGCACACTCACACTACACCGCAATTTAGATGTTTACGACTTTACATTATTTTCCCACAATTTAACTGGCATAACGCATAAATGAACAAGAATGTCATTGTAAGTCGACCCTTTAGGCGCCAAAGTAATGGAAGTGCTACACAAGCCCCTAAATCCACTTTCAATACAGCAACTTGACTTCCCATAGATGTTTCAATATATTTTTCTTACATCATTTCCTTCTACAGTGGGGCAAAAAAGTATTTAGTCAGCCACCGATTGGGCAAGTTCTCCCACTTAAAATAAAGTGATGTCATAGGTACACTTCAACTGTGAGAGACAGAATGTGAAAAAATATCCAGGAATTCACATTGTAGGATTTTTAAAGAATTTATTTGTAAATTATGGTGGAAAATAAGTATTTGGTCACTTCAAACAAGGAAGATCTCTGACTCTCACAGAACTGTAACTTCTTCTTTAAGAAGCTCTTCTGTCCTGTATTAATGGCACCTGTTTGAACTCCTTATCTGTATAAAAGACCCCTGTCCACAGCCTCAAACAGTCAGACTCCAAACTCCACTATGGCCAAGACCAAAGAGCTGTCGAAGGACACCAGGAAAGGAATTGTAGTCCTGCACCAGACTGGGAAGAGTGAATCTACAATAGGCAAGGAGCTTGGTGTGAACAAATCAACTGTGGGAGCAATTATCAGAAAATGGAAGACATACAAGACCAGTGATAATCTCCCTCAATCGCAAGATCTCATCCCGCTGGGACCAAAGTAACAAAGGTTACCATCAGTAACACACTACGACGACAGGGAATCAAATCCTGCAGTGCCAGACGTGTCCCCCTGCTGAAGCCAGTGCATGTCCAGGCCCGTCTGAAGTTTGCCAGAGAGCACATGGATGATACAGCAGAGGATTGGGAGAATGTCATGTGGTCAGATGAAACCAAAGTAGAACTGTTTGGTATAAACTCAACTCGTCGTGTTTGGAGAAGGAGTTGCATCCCAAGAACACCATACCTACTCTGAAGCATGGGGGTGGAAACGTCATGCTTTGGGGCTGTTTTTCTGCTAAGAGGACAGGAAGACTGATCGGTGTTAAGGAAAGAATGAATGGGGCCATGTATCGTGAGATTTTGAGCCAAAACCTCCTTCTATCCTGAGAGCTTTGAAGATGAAACGTGGTTGGGTCTTCCAGCATGACAATGATCCCAAACACACCGCCCGGGCAACGAAGGAGTGGCTCCGTAAGAAGCGTTTGAAAGTCCTGGAGTGGCCTAGCCAGTCTCCAGACCTCAACCCCATTGAAAATCTGTGGAGGGAGTTGAAAGTCTGTGTTCACTGCTCTCGAGAAGATCTGCATGGAGGAATGGACCAAAATACCAGCTACTGTGTGTGCAAACCTGGTAAAGACCTATAGTAATCGTTTGAACTCTGTTATTGCCAACAAAGGTTATATTATCAAGTATTGAGTTGAATTTTTGTTATTGACCAAATACTTATTTTCCACCATCATTTACAAATAAATTATTTTCAAAATCCTACAATGTGAATTCCTGGATTTGTTTTCACATTCTGTCTCTCACAGTTGAAGTGTACCTATGATGAAAATTACAGATCTCTGTCTTTATTTTGAGTGGGAGAACTTGCACAATTGGTGACTGACTAAATACTTTTTTGCCCCACTGTATGTATTTCCGTTGATTTAATTCATTATTCATCTCATATTAAGCAATAGACACCTTTTGTCTTGCAATCCATTTAAAAAAAAAAAAAATACACTGGCGCCTAAAAAATAAGCCTGGAGTATAAAACTTTGAGACCATACCAAATGAACAATATAGCTTGATTTCACATTCATGTATTTTAGCCTATCTTTTTCAGTGATAAAGAGAGTACCAGCCCTCACTCAATCAATCAGCTCTCAGAATGAAAAAAAATAACATGCGCGATAATATGATAATAAACAAGATTTGTTTTATTTATTTATTGTGTTTGAACTATTTGATTCTCTAATCTGTGTTGGCGAATTCAACGGTTTTGTAAAGTCCTCTGAGATAACTGCTGTGATTAAGGGCTATATAAGAATCTATTGAATTGAATGATAAAAGACCGACAGTTATGGTCTGACCTGCTCACAAAATGCAAATCGGAACAACAAACAAGTTTATAATTCAAACACAATATGGAAATGTCTTGCTAAGATACTGTATCTAATTAGAGGAAAATGTTTCGAAGTAATTATTACAGTATTATTCAGATTTCTCCGCTCCTATCTGGCTTCACTTCATCGAAACAGCTGATATGTGAATAAATCAAATAAGTCTATTTTGGTGATGCTTCTGCTATTCCACTGCACCTCTCAGTCTGTTTTACTTTTACGACTTCTTTCTGGAGCGTGGCAGTGATATATGCAACAGCGAAGTATGAATAATTCAAAACGTCCCGGTGATGACACTATTTCACAGTACCCCTTCCTTGATTATAATCAATGTCAACACCCAAGCGAATAATGTTTCTGTATTTTGTTACGCGCCACAAAGCGAAGTGCCCATATGAGCTGTGCGCATGAACGAGAAAAGCCATCAGGACGATGCATCATTGTCAAAGGCAATAATAAAGAAATAGCCATGCTCCTATTTTGCAACAAGCTCTACACAGTTTTCATGCTGCAGAGCCATGTGGAAATGCCGGGACAAAAGTGGGAAAAGTTTACGTGTTGTTTGCACCCGTGTTTTCTTTTTTGAGTTTTTTTTTGAAACTTCTGACTTTCAAACTAAAGTATTAAGTCACAGCATAATCCTCGTGTGGCCCAGTGAAACGCAATATTATGGACTAATGCAACATTATCATCCATGTGGAGCCATATCAACATTTAAATCATTATTTTAAAGGACAGCTTTATAAAGTCCTTTGATGGTAAGAACTTTGCCATTTAGAGAACCTTTTATTTTTATTTTTTATTTTTTGTTGTCTGAATTATTGCAATATTTGGTCGGAGCACTGTTTAAAGCAATAGTTTGCCTAAACCTTAGGAATACATTGACAGACCCAGTTACATATAGTACATTTTTGTATGTCACTAGAAATGTTTACTAGAAATAAAAATTGGAAAAAGGAAAATTATCTTCCACATGCTAAACTATTATATCTTTGGGCAATTATTCAAACAATATATGTAACTTTCTTGAATCATCAATCAGGGTGTACATACAGTAAGTAATCTTTGCTCATACATTTTAGATAGATACTTCAGCAGCATAAGACTCATCCAGGTTTGTTGTACAGTCTGACAGCCAAAGGAACAAAGGATCTCTTGAAACGTTCCGTCCGGCAGCGCAGTGATAGGAGCCTGTTGCTTCGATTCCTCCTCTGAGCGGCCATAGTGACATGATTTTATGCATTATTTATTCATTCCACACAATAATGGTGTTTAATTCTAGGCCTGCTACAAGACATGTCTGTGTGAGTCAGTGTAACACATTTTTCAACTTTTTCCCTGGCAGAGCTACTTTTTTGTGACAAAAGTGAGAGAGAGCTACATCTTTACACAGTCAACACACAGTAAAAGGCTACAATGGAACAACCAGATTTTGTTTTATTTCAAGCACAGATACGGCAAATTTATTTATTTTTTCATTGCTAAATCTTGTTTTCAGGCCATCAAAATGTTCTCTAATTTAATCCAAAGCAAATTAGGGTTATTTCCATCTCTTTTGGTATTTTTTGTTGTGCAGTGGGATACCCATGAAACAATCCATCAAGATTTATCAGTGAAAAAAGTAGGCATTTTCTTCATGTACTCAAAAAAATGATCGTTTGGGGAGCTTCTTTGAGGAGTCGAGCTATCGGTTGGAGACCCATGCAGTTTAGCTGTTGCAACTGTCCTCCCAAATTTCTGCTGGGACACGCCTGCTTCCACTGTCTCACCTGTGCTCATCAGTTTCCCCACCAGGCATTGGGCTCATCAGCTGCTGCTCTTGGCACAGGACCCGCCAGCTCCCCGGCTCTGCACCAGACAGATGGAGACTCAGCACCCGGCTCTTTCTGTAAATGCACTGATGCCTTGAATGCCTTTGTGTAGATACTGTCTCTCCCATCTCCAGCCAACCAGCCCCTCTATATTCTACTATCAGACCTGGGGGCTTGTTCACCACAGCTTTAACCTTCTGTCTGTGTCTATTCTCATCTCCTCACACAGAAGTCAAGGAGAGCAGGGTGCATTTTGGGAAAACATAACACAGGAGGTGCAGCAGTTGGGACCTCCGCCTACAGCTGCTGGTGAGCACCGGAGGGCTGTTATAGAGCACAGGGAAGTCGTTTTCCTTTAGAATTCTTTACTTTTTCACAACAATCTCATCCAGGTGTAGCTACGTTGTGTTTTAGTTGACTGTTATGAGACTCAAATAAACAAATTTTGTACATTTCAAAATCACATCAGGATTTGTCATGATGGACAGTACAGATGTGTTGATTTGCAGATAGCAATAAAAAATCAAACAATTAAAATGGTCAAAATAGAAAAATAGATCAGCCAGTGTTCACAGTAATTGGTTAAGCTTCTTTTGACGATGAAAAAGTAACCGAGAAACCGCATGAGAATCCACAGAAGGAGAGATCCACTCTCATGCACAGACATTCTGTAAATGAGTCCAAGGCTAATACAATCATTCTTCCCCTTTGTGCCTTTGCATGTTTGGTCCTTCACTAGAGATTATTCAACAGTAACATGAACACGAATGAAAGAACTATATCTTTCTGTTCACGCTTCACATGCTTTAGTCTCGGTGGCATGTGTCGTATTAACGTATACCATTACTGTTTGAATGTCTATAATAATGCCAATATCACAATGACGAATGGACTTGAAATGCTCATTCCAATCAGCTCAGGTATTCATGCAGACAAACCAATCAAAATAATCACCTGAGAAAAGAGCATGGCCTGAACACCAACACCAGCAATCAGAATCTCCACCTCATTGACTTGATTTCATTATGTTTGCAAATGCCAGCTCGTGCTATTGTATGTGTGTTTTAGAAATCTTTAGATAAATAGAGAGATACAGTAGATGGAGTCATACTTTATTGATCCCAAAGGAAAGTGTGCAATTTCCTTTTCAATTATTTTATTCACAATGCTGATTATTTCTAACAATTTAGTGTATTAATCACACACTTTAGAATTGGTAACGCTCCAAGCTACTGTACACGTGTCCTGCGGCAGACTGGATCAAGCAAGGCTGCCATTTTGTGCCATCAGCCCCTTTAACGATCAAGAACACAAACGCACACACATTCAGACAGTGTCCTGATAGTTGTGGGGTTTTTAGTATATTTGGTTGGTATTTCTCCTTAGTCGAGGTATGTTAATGTTAATGTTAATCTAATGCATTTAGCTCTGTAAATTGAATTTCTAAATGTGTGCAGACAGAGATGGACGGATGGAACATTTACAACCATTTTTTATTTTTTTATCAGGATGTGACACAGTCAAAAGATACTGTAAGCTGTCAAATTATTAACAGTCACACCATTCTTCATATACACACTTTGAATATTGTGACCAAAGTACAAAATAATTGTCTTACACTTAATGCAGATAATAAATCAAAAAAAGCTGGATCCGTGACTTCCTGCCAGTTCTTATCAGGAAAAAAAACCCTGTTCTAATGGCGCTTTCACAACAAAAGTCCAGAACTCTGAAAAACATTTCTGAAGTATTTTTCAGAGTTGAAAGATGCACATGAACGCTCGCTTAACTCCGAAAAACAACTTGGGAACTCGGGCCAAGAGCAGCTTACAGACTTCCGCACTGGTGCATCTCCTGCTGTGAGGAAATGGACCAGCATCAGCGAATTTGTCCATTTATTTTAGATATTTGAGTTCTGTACGCTTTCTGCATTGAACAGGTTTGTAAAACTGAAGGGAATTGATATCACTGTTTCATTAATGTTAACATTAGCTTGATAATGTAAAACACAAGGGTGTTTGCAAACATATAGTCATACTTTACAGCTAGTATTTGACAAGGCTAATGACCATATCTGACAGGTTTGCTTTGGCACACTTGGGCACACTTCTGTTTTTCATAAATCTTGGTAACATCCAAAATACAGAGTTTCTGAAAAGCATATGAACAAAAACACAGATATTTTATCAGCAATAAAGACAGTGACCAGGACTGGTGTGTTCTGAACCAGGCCCGGTGCTCTCGACAGGACTGGAGAGGTCTGTACCCGGACAGTAAGTAATCTAGTAAGTAAGTAATCTTTATTTATATACCGCCTTTCACAGACCAGAGTCACAAAGCGGTTTAAACTGAATTAAGTGACCAGTTTACTCATGTTTGTTTGTTTGGTTGTTTTACACAGGAAAAAATAAATAAATAAATGAATGCATTTAACCAGACCAAGTGTGAAGGGATCCGTAGTTTTGCATGTTCACCGCACGTGCCTACAACTTTCACAGTCTGTTGTGTCTTATCGCCTTTTACTCAAGACTGTTGGTGACCATGTAGCCGGACACGCATCATTAGCATCTCCCTCCGGACTAAACCTTTGATCAAAGCAGCTCTGACCTTCGCCTCGTCTGCACACCTTCTCCAAAGTCACATAATAAATAGGCTCCCGCGTCCTCCCCTCACGCCCATGTTATTTAGAGGCTTTTACTCGGACTCCATTACCGCTTTAATGAAGAGGAGATTCCGTCACATTGGCCGTGAGAGGTTGTGTATGGTTATAAAGCCAGGGCTCAAGGGCGACTTATAACAGTGATGTGTTGGGAGGGGCTTTACATGTGGAGGGATGGAGGGTCATTGACAGACTGCTGAGAGTTGGAAATTGCATATTGATGACGTATATTTGGGCAAGACATTTCCCTGTTAATGCAAAAATATGACCATTATTGGGATTCCCTGACAATTCGCTACCTCTTTGTGTCCCGTATTGGCAATATGGCATCCATCATCTTAGACAAAAACCAGGCTGGGTGACGAGGCAGATATGTTAATTCCGGGTAAGAGAAAATTATCAGTGTTATGCAGGAAATGTCTTATTTTGATTTGTGTGTTTTTTCTTAAGTTTAGCTTTAGCTTCTGCCTATTACTTTTTCAAACCTTATTTTGACCTTATTTTTTCAACGTGCCTGAAATTGTCAGAAACGTCAGAAATAAATAAATAAATACACTAAAACTGAACTGAGAAGTGGACTCAAAAGAGTATAATAAGAGATAGCAATGCCACGGGAATGAAGACACATAGACAATAAGTGAAAGTATTTTACTTTAGATAATAAACATTATTTGTAATACAAATTAAACTGTTTGAATCAAAACCCTTCAATAATTGTATGTTGTTATGAGAATTAATGTAAGTAAAATTTCCCCACTGTGAGAGGAAAGAGATTCTCGTCTCTTTACTCTCAGAAAACTAAAGATCCATAATTGTCAATGATTTTATGAGTTTATGAACACACTTTGTCCAAATATTGTTTGCTTTTAAAACATCCACCAGAATCGGATTTGTCCCGATAATATACAGTGATAAACAAAAAATAAACTAGTAGAACAAGCAAACAAAAAAAGGACAAGGTTAAAGATTTGGCCAAAATAGTTCATAATAATGTATGAATAAATTGGATGGAAAAGTTCAATCCATCCAAGAGTTGTGAGCCCAGATTGTCTTAAACATCCGAGACATGTTAGTGCCATATGAACTAACTTGATTCAAGATGCTAAAATCTGGAACAGTCTACCTGAAAAATGTGAAACAGGCTTCTTTTATGACAATTCTCAAATCCAGGTTAAAAAAAAAAACAGTTCTGTTCAGCTGTGCACACAACTGAGGGATTTTATTGTTATCCTTTTGAATGTACTGATATTATTTATGACTTGATTGTCCTGTATTGTTTCTATCTTAATTTGTCAGGCAGTTTGAGTTGTGTATGAGCTGTGCTATACAAATAATAATTCCTCACCTAAACATTACTAGTGAATCAATGAACAGTGGTAGAAGGTTTAGCAAATGTCACTGGCGACTTTCAATCAATCAATCAAAGTTTATTTGTAGAGCGCCTTTTATACACAGGGTAGAAACACAATTAAAACATTAAAATCACACAAGGTATTAAAAAAAAAATATATATATATAACCACAGCGCATTAAAATGGAGATAACATCCTTCAGTTGTATGCACAGGTAAACAGAACAGTCTTTAACCTGGATTTGAACATTGTCAGAGTAGACGCCTCTCTCACATTTTCAGGGAGACTGTTCCAGATTGTAGCTGCATAAATCTGAAATGCAGCCTCCCCATGTTTAGTCCTGACTCTGGACACGAACAGAAGTCCAGTTTTCCACCTGTTTCAAGGTCAGTCGCTGTCTGAAGTCTATTCTCATTGTTTTGAAATGCATTCCCCGCTCTCTCCATTGAGACCACAGACTATAGAATATAGAATATAATATATAATATATCTGATGCAGTAAGTCTCAAGGTGAACACAGATTCAATCAACTATACTCCATTATCTTCATATTGTTTTCAGATCAGATCGTGAGCTCCATCAAGGGCGTATAGCTGAGACAGGTAAACAGACAGTATGATTGAAATGGCATTTTTTCATATCTCGGTGAATCCAGGACGCAAAAGAGGGAAAAGCAGATGTAGTTATAAAACCTGTGGTGACGCATGTGCAGCACGCAGCCTGTGGAGACAAAGCAGAGGACCTGACTTACACCGCTTCTGTTCTTCTGCTGATCAGTGAGAAGAGACATGGGGCTGCATAGTTAACTTTAGGATGGAATGACTCATTTTGTATCATATTTTTTAGCGCATTTTAAGTTTTGTTTAATTTAGCTGAAATCACAGGGCAGCAGCAGACACGTCTCATCCAAGCAGTATGCAAGGTATGATCGAGAATAAAGACAGCACGACAATTAGGTCGGATGTACCTGAAGATTTTTCTGTGTCATTACCAGCCCGGTGTGATAAAAAAATATATATATATATATATATTGTAAACCGCTTTGTGACTCTGGTCTGTGAAAGACGGTATATAAATAAAGATTACTTACTTACTTACTTACTTATTCTGTTGGCTTGACCGTTTTATTTTTTGTGTTTCTCATGTGTATTAACCTGTTGAGATGATGTTGTTAAAGAATGGGGCTGCTGTATCAAAACAAGGTTTAATCTCTAAAGATTACAAAGATACAACCCTAATTTTTGGCACATTGGTCAACAAGACCCCACTTAAGCTTTGTGAATTTTTTTTTCAGCCTAATTTTGACTGTTTCTAAATTCACAAAAAACCACTACAACCTTTATATTCTGAATACGTTGATTGTTCTGAAACAAAAACAAATGTAACACTTACAATCCAGACGAGATGCATTTTCCCAAAAATTGGTTGAATTTTGTTTCTGAGGCAGTATGAGCTTAGTGAGAAGAATGACTCCGGTTAATCCAGAGTGAACTTTCAACAACAAAATAAACACTGATACGCCAAAACCTGCTGTCGTGTCAGAACTACATAAGCACGACCAATACGACCTATGAGAGATTTCAAAATCAAATCTAATCATTTGAAATGTTCTCTTAATAATTATTGAAAGACTGTGACTTTGATTTATTTATTCATTCATATGTTATTTTGACAGTTTTGGTCCTTCATAGCATTCTTTGTACAATTTGAAGTACTAATGTATCAAAACAAGAATATGTGTCTCCTTCTCAAATACTGTACGGTGTTGCGAAGCGTGCAAGCTTTGGCTGACTTTGGCTGTTGGAATAAATGTGTTGTTCAACGGCTCAAAGTCAATAAGTTGCAGCTCTCCAAACCTGCCACCGCAGCAATACATCCAACTCGTGACACTCATTATGTTCAAGTTTACATTAAGGCTTATCAACATGCAGACACACAGCCACTCGCTGGATGTAAGAGGCCTGCATTTCAAAAGTGTTTTTTCATCTGGATGAATAACAAAGAGGAAATGCATAAAAACTCCAGACCGATAAGTGGATTAAAAAATACAAAACCCATTTCTTTGCTTGACTTTGAGGCAGATATCTGGACGTATTAAATAAAATACCCTCCGGCCATAAAAAGAGGGATTATGGCCCCAGTCAGAATACATTTATTCAGGCAATTCATCACTCACAAAGCACACTTTCGGATTCATAAAGTAGTTCTCATAATACTTTTAATAACGGTGCCATTAAAATAAACTCCTATAGTCACACTCCTCATTATGCACTTTTAATAAACACACAAACACTGACATACATACACATACACGCACATGCTCACACTCACACACGTAATAAGGGCTATAACATGCTATTTTATCTGATAGTGGATTATATATGGCGCTGTGGTAACATGGTCATATAAGACCAGACACACACCTAGAACTATTCTCTGCATGTTGTGTTTGTGTCTTTGTAACCTGTGCGTAACCTGTCCACGAAAATACACCGCGAAAGTGTCCGTGTCTCCTCCTGAAACTAAACTAAACTAAACTCGCTGAATTAAAGCTGGGGTACGTAAATTTCCCCCTTTCATTAACAGCTCATTTTGTTTGTTCCCAAATGCAAAAAGTTGTGAGCAAATTTAACAAATGTAAGTACATTTGGTATAAATGACAATGTGTCATTATATTTGACGATTTCATTTAACTTGAATTGGAGTGGATTTGATATAGAATGTTAAAAATACGATTAATCGTGAGTTAACTCACCGTTTTTGTGTGATTAATCAACTAAAAATGTTTAATCGTTTGACAGCCCTAGTCGTAATGTATTGACAATGGACGCACCGATGTCAATACTGTAGCTTTCAATATCTGCTGATGTGAACTGTTACCAGAGACAAAGCCTAAAGAGCTAAGTTGTTATGTATTACTGTTGTGATACAGTTGGAAACAGGGTTGGATGGATTAAAATGGACTGTAAGCCTCAATGTGTTCTTCTTTATCATTGCCTTTCTGGTGTTTGAACGGTTTGAACATTATAACAAACATACCATGGATGGATGGATGGAACAAACAAAAGCTTTGCATGTAATGCGTTTATATCCTGTATTGACTTCATAATTTAGGTTATAAAGGAATTGAAATAACTTTTGAACAATATTCTAATAAGTTTCACCTATAGAACAACTTTGAATTAATGTATTTGAATGATATGGTTAAAATTCTATGACATTCTGGGTTAATATCAGCAGATAAAATGTTGTATTAGGGCAACTTGCCAAAATCAAATCGTTTTTATTTCATCATAACTTTGAAATTCTAAATGTATGCATGGATTGGCCCCCTAGACTGATCTGCTTGTGCCCTACACCCTGTCTCGGGCTCTAAGATCAGCAGACCAGGCTCTTTTAGTGGTCCCAAAGACCAGAAAAAGCTGAGAGAGAATTGTGCGTTCGCAGCGGCGGCTCCAAGAGTGTGCACGTTAGACTGGCGGACTCACTTCCTCTTTACAAACCACTTCTTAAGACTCATTGTTTTACTTTGGCTTTTAGCTCAGAGGGTTGACTCTCCGTGCAATTATTATTCTTGTATGTGTTTTTATATTATATTGTGTTTTTAGACTGGTCACCTGTGTTTTTTAAAGTGCTCTATGAATAAAAGTTCAAATTGAAATTTAATCGAATTATTATATCAACTGATATCATTAAACCAAAACCTGGTCCAACAATATTTCCTGTATTGGCGCAGATATCCGATACCAGTATTGTATGGTTGCATCCTGAACTGACTGTTACGAAGACGCATTTGGACAGATGGGTAAGGGGGACACGTTTGTGCTGATTGTCCTATAAATCCCTGTGCGAGGGGTTGAAAAGTACTTCATGTATGGTTTGATTAGAAAAATGGTTCAAGACTTTTGTGCACATTTTTTAATTTTTTTATGTGGATCCCCATTAGCTTTAGTGGTTGCTAGCCTTCCTGGGTTTCAATTCACGTTAAAACATTTCTAACATACAGTAAAAAAGAAAAAAAAAAAAAAAAAACTGTACAAACATTTGACATCAATATTCTTCAACCTTTTTTGCTTTATGTTGTTCCATGCAAAACAAAACTGTTCTGATCATACAGCTCGACTTCAGAAAAAGGAACAACTAAATCTGGAGAGCAGACCTGGCAATAACCGCTAATACAGATTGTCTTCCCTAAATCAAACATGAACAAAAATAAACCTTCTAATGAGCTTGTGAGGGGGAAACGAAACTCATACATTTGCAGATTACACATTGATTCACTCTTCATGGAGAACCCACGCTCCACTATCAGATTATACGCTCTGAGATTAAAGATTTAGGTGGAGGCAAATCGCTGTTTTGCAGTGTAACTCTCAGATCAAAGCACATTTGCCAGTGCCCTGTCGACATTATTCCCTTAACTATTTCTGAGTCAAAGAGAACGCTGAGACAAAGAACTTCTCATTCTGCAACAAAGACATTGCTGAGCCCGAGTTTAAATGGAATGCCCCAAAAATAACCGTTTAATTATGTGGCTATCGCAGTGGCTTTCATGTTTTGCAAATGAATCGTCTTGGATTTGATAACCAATTCTCCTATTGATGCAAAAGTTTGTCCCACTTCCATCACAGAATTATGAAAAGTCACTGTGCCAAAGACATTAATTATACATTTTCTAATTATGTTGAAAATCCCCAGATAGCCCTAATCTTAACCTGATAATTTTAATTAGCACACTTTTTTTCCAATGTTCTCATCAAACAGAGCTGGATGTAATCTCTCACAAAAAGTCTTTTGATACAAGAATACTGTAAATTGCATATAGAAAGTATGCAAATCTATAGACAATAATTTCCTCCTGGGGCCACAAAGCGACATCACTATGTTGTTACTCGAGTCTGGGGCCCTACACATGATGGTTTGAGAAGATATGCTAAAATAATCCATAATAGACATAGAAAATAGGAAATGCATGAAATATTGCCAGTGTATGTGTGATTGAAGCCACTGCTTATTCAGCAGTGTCAAAGTGATAGAGTCTCATCTATTATATAATCTCAATCATAATTATGGCAACTTTGACATGAATGTATATGTATTTATTGACCTAGGATTTTGTACGAGATAAAGTAATAACACTTAATGATGCAGTGAGTCAGGATTTGCCATTTATTCACTGCAAAAAGTTATGAAAAATAAGTAAAAAATTGCTCAAATTTGGCAAAATGTATCTTATTTTGAGCACATTATGACTTCCCTAAAAGATGATTCGCCAATGGGACAAGAAAAATCTTGTTATAAAAAAGATATAAGAAATGTATCCCTTGGAATGAGAAAAACTGGTTCTTGAATTAAAACTAAATGGCTTTGTCGTGTCGGTAAATCTTGCTTTAAGTCAGAATGTATTCAAATTAATCATTACCTCATATTTCATAAATTATTCAACTGAGCGGCTAAAAGAGTGTTCGCAACTTATAATGATGCTACTTCAATATTGTCATACAGCCCCAAGTCAACCTTGTAAATTACCTCCAGTGAATTATAAACCAGTCCAATAAACCTCAGTAAATAGTCTTCTCTCAAAGTCGCTCAAGTGCCGCAGCGGCTGCTCGCAGTCTCACGGCTGTATTTAACATACTGTGTATCTAATGACAGAGCTGTTGGACTGTTTAACCAAATTAAGGCCAGTGTAGAGCCATTAGCCAAGATCCACCCAAAGCAGATGATCTCAGAGGAATAGAAAAACTCACGACACTGAGAAATACAGTATAAAGTAACAGTTATCACACAACTGTAATCTTCTACAACAGTAAATCTGCTGGTCTGAACAAGCCCATTAGTTACTCTAAAATAGTTTGTTATATATATAAGTTATCACAATATACAATGTCTGATAAAACACAATAAAAACACAACAAGAGCAACCCCTGAAAAAACTCAATCTATCACTGTCACGACCCCTTCCTCCTGTCTGTGGTCGTGCTCGGTACTGCCTTATACATCTGTGTGCAGGTGGAGCTGTGGGCGGACCTTTGGTGCGTGGTGCGTCAGGGCCTGACGCGCCACGCCTATTTATGGCCCTGCTTGCTGACAGTCTCACTCTCTCCCAGCATGCACCCTGTGCCACACCACTTTGTTTTCTGTTCCCGTTACGGTTTTGTTCTGCATCACACCTCATATCACACCATACGAACACACAACCATTCACTCACATACACCACTGATCCTACAGTCAGTCACACCTGATTATTATTTTTACTTGGGTTATACTTGGGTTAATTGTCTTTTAAAATAAAACACACTTTAAGTATCCCATTTCGTTGTCTGCGTCTACATTTGTCATGGCCTTGAACCAGGTTATGACAAATTGGCGGCTCGTCCGCTAAGCCTAACCGGTTCAGCTCCTCCACCAAACACACCAGAACAAATCTCAGCCGCTACTGACTTAGCTGATACAAGTAAAGCTCTCCCACTCCAACTCGCCTACAAAAGTAATATTTTATTCTCAAAAAAAAAAACAACCACCAAAAAAAAATTATCCCATGAAAATGTTCCCCTTTTCACAACTTATCTGCCATAGTTCATATACCGGTCTAGTCCCGTAAACACCGGTAGTCTCGTTCATAAAATAATGAATAATGCAGAATAGGTTACGTTCATGTGACATCAAAGTTGGGCTGCACTTTATTGGAAGTTAGAGCGATATTCGATATGAGTGTTTAGTATTTCGATAACTATATTTTTGTCTTTCACCTGAAATTGCAATCTGCATTAAAACGCAAGAGACACATAACAAAAAATAAGCACAACGACAATGACATTCAAATGCATATATTCATATCCTTGTTGTTTGTTGTTCTTGTTGAATGTTGATGTGTCTGTCTGTTTTGTTGTCTTTAATAAAGGATTTTTATTTTTTATACAAAAAATACATATTTTATTATTGCACATCTTTTGGATATGGATATTGCAGGCACCAATATCGCGATAACAATATTTTTTCGATAAATTGTGCAGCCCTACATCATAGCATTGTAAAGAGTCTATAGTTTTGTTCTGGTGGGAGCAGCTGAAATATCTTTCCTTGTAACTATGCCATAAAAGTCATATTTCTAGTCAAGTTTAAAGCTATCTCTCTGTAATACTTGTGCCAATCTACGTTAAACAAAAACGTTCACACAGTTCCTTAACCTCTTGGTGAATACGTTCTCATAAAAGTGTCTCAAAGTGGCAAGGCAAGGCATGTTTATTTGTATAGCACAATTCATACACAAGGCAACTCAAAGTGCTGAACAAGATAGCATTAAAATCATAAATAATCACAGAACATTAAAAAGAAAGATAAAAATATAAAATCCCTCAGTTGTATGCACAGCTAAACAGCACAGTTTTTAACTTGGTTTTAAACATAGTCAGAGAGGAGGCCTGTCTCACATCTTCAGGAAGAAGATGTGACAATATTCAAAAAACATATAAATGATGTTGGCCAGTAGAAAGGACTTTGAGGCAATGGTCGCTTTGACAATCTAATAAATAAATTAAAAAAATCATGATTTGGCAAAATATATTTTTTGGTTTTTCAACCTTTATCCCATAACAGACCCAAATCCAGTCTTTTTGTCCTCACATGCTGCAGAGATGGCAGGAAAAGCATCACTGAAGCATCTGCTGGTGTTTGATGTGAGGCGACAGACGGGGCTTCACACCGACACCGGGATGTGGCTCAAACTGAAGCATCACTGTCTGCGCTGGACGCCTCTGACCGCTGCTGCTGACCTCTGCCAACACTCCAGCTCATTCCATACACTGCATTAATCTTCTGTGAGAGGCCATTGCTTTATGTTTTTAATATGATATTTTGTTTATAAAAATGCAGCTCGCGGAAATTCAATTTAGAAGACGTCAGCCAAAAGCTACCCCCTCCAGGCCAGCTCGCATCCCCAGCTATCGCACAGCAAACGCCCCCTTCCAATCATCCGTGCCGGCCAGGCAGCCGCTTAAAAGCGGAGAAACTCCCACTTCACGGCCTTCTCGAAGCCTCGCAAGCCCTCGAAGCCTTGCAAAGAATCGTTCTGGAGGAATCACCTTCGTCTACTCACGCTACTCGTGCGTGTCCCTGGTGTCCTCCGTCTGGCTGCTCGTGGTCTGCTCCTCCTCCGCGTCCCTGCACCTGCTGTGGTTCGCGTGTCTCCACTGCTCTCCTCCTCTGCGGGCTCTTCTGCGGGCTGCTCCGCGGGGCCCCTCCGCGGGTTCCGTGCTGCTCGTTCCTCGTGGTCTGCTGCCGCGCGCAGACGGTCTGGCGGTGCCGTGCGTGTCCCTGCCTCCGTCGGCGGTGCCGCGTTGTCCCGTTGCTTTTCCCAAGTCTCCTGGCATGTGTGTGTGTTGACCGCGGACGGATTAATCCCGGAGTCTGGGCTGCAGGCTTGGTTTTTGCCCCGCGCACTGGACTGCAGGCGTCAGTTTCGCCCCGTGCTTGGTCTGCAGGCTTTGTTTTCACACGTGTTTGAGCTAACAGAGGGGCAATGCATATTAAATGGCATCAATCTCTATCGTCCGGGGATACAAGAGGCGCAATGTGCATTAATTCAGATTCATGTTCTGCCACTCGCAGTAAAACCACGTCGGAAAAATCTGCAAGACTACCCCATTGTGCTCCAGACGGCACACACCAGAGCTCTTGCTCTGGTGTGTGCCGTCACCTCACGGCGCCATATTTACAGCATAATCTCATTACTCGCAGGTCACTATTGTTAAATGATTGTATTAAATTCGTCTATCCGTGGGAGGAAGGAGGGGCCATGCATTTAAATAGCTAGGTCACTGGTATTAAATTAGGTAACTAAACTGCAGTTGTTGCATTTTGAAAGTGCAGCAGAAAGAAAAAGGGCCCAATGTGAATCTGCAATGGGTTTGAAGTGGAGTTGGAGCTAATGAACGTGTGGAAAAGTGATCGTTCATGCGTATCTGCCATAACCAAAGCAGCAAGATGGCTCCAGGGGACGTCTGTTATTCGCATGGGAATGTTTCGGATTCGGGTTGATTTATTTCCTCAGGCTCTTAAACAACCATGGGCATGGTTCTCTGACCGCCGCTGCTGCGGTCCCTGCTGCCGTTCCTACTGATGCCTGATCCCGCTGCTGCCTGTTCCTGCTGCCGCTCCTGCTGCCGCTCCTGCTGCTGCCCGTTCCTGCTGCTGCTCCTGCTGCTCCTGCTACTACATGTGCCGCTGCTGCTGTTCCTGCCGCTGCCGCTCCGCAGGCTCCCAGGCTGCACCTGTCTCTACGGCTCGGCTCTTTCAGACACGTATGTAACCTGGCTCACGGAGACAAGCGGCGCACGCTGGCGTGACACGTCTGTTGTTCGTATGAATCGCATTGTGGTGCTACTGCTCCTGCTAATGCTGCTCTGCTGCTTCATACTGCTACCGCTACTGCTGCTACTGCTGCTGCTGCTGCTGCTTTATGTACTTCGGCATCTCTCTTCACTTCGCATCTCTTTTACTGAAACACTAAACAGCTTCAACAATATTCTACTGCTGTGGCTTTGATACAGGATCATTGCTGTTATTATCTACGGATGCTGCGGCTGCTGCTGCTGCTGCTTCATTTACTTTGCCATCTCTCTTCACTTGCATCTCTTTTCTGAAACACTGAACAGCTACAACAATATTCTACTGCTGTGGCTTTGATACAGGATTATTACTGCTATTACCTGAGGTTACTGCTGCTGCCGCTACTGCTACTGCTGCTACCCACTCTCTCAGAAGCTTATCCTGCTTCTAATGGACGCAGCCCGGCTGAGCATGCCGCGCTGCGCTGGACTCGCACCTATGCTCCCAGGGTCGCTTCGGCGGTCATGCTTCATCTCTCTACTAATCTTCTGATTCTATCAGATGCAGCTGGCCGAGTAGCTGCGCTGAGCCGTCAATCGGACTCCTAATCAAACGCATCCATACCTGTATTCTTCACTCTTCTGATCGCAGGCTCCCCATCATGCTGCCCGTCCTGCAGCGGCACCGAACTCCGGCTCATCTTCCAAGTACATGTCTGCCCTCCTCGCAGCATCTTCCTGCTCGCCTTCTATGGCTTCTCTGCGTAAGCGTTTCACTACTGCTCACTCAACCTTCATGCGGTCCGAGACACGGCTTTCCCGACCATCCTACTATCCTGATTATCTACTCTCCAACCCAAGATTCTAAGCGTAAGGGCGCCTGCAACTTCTATGGCCCTCTTCGATATGTCTCTGCCCCTACAGGTCTCCGCTTCTACACGGACGCTGCCCCTTCCGTGGGTTTTGGGGGGTTCTTCCAGGATCATTGGGTTAGAAAGAAATGGGGGGCTGGTCCTCTTCGGCTTTCTCCGCCTACATCAGGCCAGACGCGTCCGCTATCCTGGCTGCACAAACGTCTACTGGCTTCCTCGTAAGCTCCCAGCAAAGCAATACGAAGCAAAGTAAGTGAAGCAATAAGTTCTGGTGGCGGCACGCACTTTTCTCAAACACTCTCCGCTGCCGCAGCGTCTGACGGAACGTGATGCGAGCGCTCACGTTCCCAGCGCGCAAAGATAACCCTGCTGCAGCGTCTGGTTGATCGTGATGCGAGCGCTCACGTCCCAGCGCTCAAAGATAACTCTGCTGCAGCGTCTGGTTGATCGTGATGCGAGCGCTCACGTCCCAGCGCTCAAAGATAACTCTGCTGCAGCGTCTGGTTGATCGTGATGCGAGCGCTCACGTCCCAGCGCTCAAAGATAACTCTGCTGCAGCGTCTGGTTGATCGTGATGCGAGCGCTCACGTCCCAGCGCTCAAAGATAACTCTGCTGCAGCGTCTGGTTGATTGTGATGCGAGCGCTCACGTCCCAGCGCTCAAAGATAACTCTGCTGCAGCGTCCGGTTGATCGTGATGCGAGCGCTCACGTCCCGGCGCTCAAAGATAACCGCATATAACGGTCACAGCATATAGCAATAGCGGTCACAGCATATAGTGATAGCGGTCATAGCATCAGTGATAGCGGTCATAGCATCAGTGATAGCGGTCATAGCATCAGTGATAGCGGTCATAGCATCAGTGATAGCGGTCATAGCATCAGTGATAGCGGTCATAGCATCAGTGATAGCGGTCATAGCATCAGTGATAGCGGTCATAGCATTAGCGATAGCAGTCACAGCATAGCAAAAAATGGTTAGCGCATAAACGGTCACAGCATAGTGATAGCGGTCACAGCATAGCGATAGCGGTCACAGCATAGCGATAGCGGTCACAGCATAGCGATAGCGGTCACAGCATAGCGATAGCGGTCACGACGTCTGTCCCCGGCAAAACAGGCTGCAAAACTCCATCAACACACAGCCTTTTGGGGATTGTGCGCGCTCTATCGCAGGAGCCTCTCCGACTGAAGGCCGCACCGGGGCCTAGGGCGCCAAACCACCTCTCATTAAAATACTCAAAAGCATTCTCGCTTTCTCGTCTCTCCAAATTGATATTGTCAGTGACTTGCACTTATGACTTTTTGGTCTCTGTACATCAAAACCAATGTTGCAATGCAGGAGTTTTTAGTACAGTGTAGTCCCAGGAATCATGTACCATGACATGATTCTGCTTTCGAGGGGGTTTCAGTGTTTTTGCACAACTTTCATTACAATAGGTCCCTGTTGCCAGCCTGGTGGCGCTCGGGCCTACTAATGTAAAACAACATTTATGAAATCATGCTTATATTCGGTAAGAGAGTGTAGACCAATCTGAAAGGAAGGGGGAGGGAGCTTGGGTTGTTTTTTTTTCAAAATCAAGTAACTCTCTGTCTCTCTTTCTGACAAACTCTAGACAATCACTTTTAAAGGAAACAAATTGTACAATATTGCACACACACTCGGATGCGAAGTTAAAACATAGCGCCATGACAAACAGATGCCCTTTCATGGGTTTGCACGTGTGGGTGAGCATTTGTGCTCTCCGCCATGTTTATAAACAGGTTACACACCGTGAGCGTGTTCCCCTGCTTCAGCACTGGAGATGATTTCCCATCACTGACAATAGTCGGATGCAACTGAAAGCAGACATATAACATCCATTTGTGCACACTCAGAACTCATATATCTTGGAACATCATCAATATAATATGGAGTCAGTGACTTCTGTAACTGTGATAGGCAACATCGTGAGTACATCACATAATTGCCTACTAATTCTCCACTGTTCTTGGCAAACAGGTAAGAGTTATGTTTTTTCCTTATTACCATTTTAACCGATGCAAAATGACTTGGGCAATATTATATTGTTATTGATACTATGTACCTATTATACTATGTACCTGACATGTCGATGGCACATGTTTAGACTTCTAGAAGAAAACCCATACCAAATTGCTTCTCTGCAATGGTCATTAGTTCATTCTTAAAAAACATTTCTAGTCAGGGTGATGTGCTTTTATTCATTAATACACTGTAATGGCGGGACGGCCTAAAAATAAATTAAAAAACCGTTGTTGGTGACACTTACTGTTTGCGTACGGTCTCGCCATGTCTTCTCTTCAAGGAATATATTGCAGAAGGTCAAGTGGATTCAAAATTCATGTAGTAGGCGTGTCGGGTAGAGTGACGTCCACTACCCGACACGCCTACTACTCGACAGGCCTCCGAACTGCAAGCCGCAGGACAGACTTCTCGTTTCTTCGCTGCGCCCCAGAGCCTTCTCAGTAGTGGAGCATGGAGGGTATTTTGGGCAGGCCCGTCCCAAGGGGGGGTGCGAGGCCCTGTGCGAATCGAAACGCGAGGCCCTGCCTGTCACTTTTTTCCACAGATCTGAGAAAAGTTGGTCCTGTTA